ATTGATGGCTTTATTTATCCGATAACTAATTATGCATAGAGGGGTCAAAGCGCAATATTGACTTAGAGGTTATTTATTATTTAATTGGAGTTCAATTAATTTCTTTTAGTGGGGTAGAAATTAATTTATGAATTAATTGAATTGGGTCCATGGATCGGGCCAATTATTAATTCATTGTAGCCAATAAAATAATAGGCCCAATGGATTCTCACTCATAGCCCAACTTGATATTGGAATCATATTAGATTTGAGACATATGAATTAGAGATGGAGAAGAATTTGTTGTTTCCTTTTCTTTACCTTTATGTTGCCTATAAATATACATGGTCTATGTATATTTTGGGTGTGATTTTATGAGAAGGAAAAAGGAATAAATTTTCTCTCTCTAGAAAATTAGGATTTATGTTCTCATCTAATGGAGGCTCCCACAAGCCTAGTTTCCAAGGTCATTCATAGGGGCATATGAGTGATTCCTAAAGGCAAAATAATTACCAAGAAGATGGAGATCCAAGGAGAAGGCATCTTGCTAAGGGATTTACAATAAGTGAGAACATTCACTTTAGAGGAAAGTTTTAAAGGTTTACTCAGACTTTTGATATAAATATTCAATCCATTAATTGAATGATACATCATATTTTTATTTTTGCATAAAACTTGTCTCTATGTGATGAATCAAGATCTATAAATCAAAATGTTTTTAAAAACTTGCATGTTTCCCAACACATACAATGACTTGTCTTCCGATTTTCAAAGTCCCATTTACTGTTCTAACATTGACAACTCAAACACGACAATAATGAGGTCTAGCACTAGGACTCTACCGAACACATAGAAAGACTATCAAGTCATCGTTAATGGTCTGATGTGCAACACATGATTTATTCAACGTTTCGCCTACAAAGTCCTCTTTAGTGTTCTAACATTAACAACTCAAACATGGACTTTGAACTTCTAATTTTGCACTAATCAGTAACAGCCATCATTCATTGTAGACTTTTTATTTTTCATTTCAACATTTTAACACGGGTCCGGTGTTAATATGGAAATTGCCGGACAGATATGGATTTAATTTGCCGAGGCTTGAGAGCTCGCCGTTGCTTGAGGGCTCGTCGGATTGAGCTTAGTCGTGGTTGCTTCGAGCTATGCGGTTGGGTCGGTCGAAATTAGGTCCGGTGTTGTTCTGCTCTGGTTTTGATCTGCCTGAACTTCCTCTGTCGTCTTCGTTTAAGCTTTTCCGGTTGTCAATGGAGCGTACACTGTTGGTGTATATATAAGTATACATATTCAGGCCATAGAAACCACAAATTCAAACATGTTTCACGGCCGAAAGCTTTGCCGTCGCCGTCAGACCGCCGTCCGCCGTTCTGTTCATCCATGTTCACTGCCAATTCTGTTATTTTTATTCTTGTTGGCCGGTTCTGTCCATCCGCGCTTCTTGCCGTTCAGACCTTCATCATCGCCATCTTCCTTGCTTCTCTTCGACGACCTCACCGCAGTTCGGTTTCTTCTTCATGCTCACTAGTCTTTAATGGAGTTCTTCACAACAAAAGTGACCTTTACCACCGTTTTTTTCTATCACAAAAAGCTAATTTTTCGTTGCTAAAAGTTTTTAATGATGAAAAATCATTCGTCAATATTTCGTTGCTATATAATCATCTCGGTTGATCTATAGTGACAAATGAGAATTTTGTCACTATTGCCTTCGCTTTTAGTAACAAAAAAATTTGCGTTATTGCATGATTTTTAGTGACTATACTTTTCTCTGCTTGTCTTTTAGTGACAAAAATGTTGAACATTTTCATCACTATTGCATGACTTTTACCGACTACACTTTTCGTCACATCTTCATGACTTTTACCGACCACACTTTTCGTCACATCTGCTTGCCTTTTAGTAACTAAAATGTTTGTCCCATTTTATGGGCATTAGCAACGAAGTTTCGTCACTAACTTACCTAATGACAAATGTCTTTCGTTACTAAAAACCAATTTTTGCTTACTTTCTAAATTTCTTATCGTTTTTACTAATATTAAAAAAAATGTCCAAATAGAAACACAGGTCCACACATTTCAAACTCTATATAGCAACCCAAATTTGAACATAACATTAAATTTTATTATGAAATACATAATAATTTTGAGTTCAAATACAAAATTAACATAAATTTTAATAAATTTTTATATTTGTTCAATTCTAAGTCAAAATATATCCTAAATTTTCAATTGTCTGATACAAAACATCAAACTAAAACATAAAAGTAAATTCCCAACTCTCCTTCTATGGCAGCACCTCAAAGTTCCCTTATCACTAGTCTTCTTGAATCTTAAAATTCTTCAAACTGTTTTTGTGGCTTTATGCACTTCGCCTTTGAATACAGAAATTCCGCACGAAGCCACTCTAGTAGCTGCAAAAAAAATGAATTTTTTTTTTTTCACTAAATGGAACAATGGGGACTGTGAAAGTCAAACATAAAAATTAAATACTACTCTCTAAGCAATTAATCTTGATTAAAATGAATTTCTTCAAAGAGATACACATTATCAACATAAAAAATGAATAAAATATAACAAATACAAAAATTATTTATCTAAGTCATCATCTCAGCAAGTTCTCGGAAGTAGCCTCATTGTTAGGATTGCCCACTACTCACATTGAATTTCAGTTTGCACCACCTGAGTTTCGTGAGTAAAAACAGACAATTGAATTATTAATTCTGTATAACAAACAATAAAGGAAAAAATATCACACAATAGACTTACAGGAAAGTTAGTCCTAATACATGAAAGATAGTCCTAATCTAATTTTATTAAATAAGCCAATTGTTGATAGAAGACTACAAAAATATATAACAAAAAAAATACACAACTTAGCAAAGGGCAAAGAAGGAAATAAAACAAGAGTGATGTAGTAGTGGCTTAAGTTAATCCAACAAAGATTAAATAATAAAATAAAATAAAAAAGGAAACTACAAGAGGAAACATTTGGAACTAAAAAAAAGACACATCAGCTGTAAATATAAGCTGACAAAAAACCCTCTCCTACATATATATTTTGAATAGAATACAAAATATAAAAGGAAAAGAAAGTAGTTGGTACACCAAAACTTATTACCCTTTGGACTCATATAACTGTGTGCGCGTGTATTTTATATACAAAGAGGGTTTTTTGTTTTTTTTTTTCCTTAAAGTGATCTGCATTTATGCATTGCCACAATTATGAAATTATGATGCTTGCAGCAATGGTGAACTTAAACCAACAATATCAACAAAGTCAACTTAGTGATTTTATTTCTTAATCACTTTCTTTATTTTCTAATTAATGTAAGAAAAAGGATTCCATGTCATTCTTTTCTTTTCTTTTTTATCCTGTTGCATAAAATATCAGGTTATTTGTTTAGTGAATTGGAGAAGCTACATGAAAATATCAAGACACAAACCTTACATTGAAAAAGACCTCTAAGTTAGAAAAATAGACCAAGCATAGCAAGATTCAGTGCTTTAGCACTAGTGTAGTTACCATGCGCATGAAGTCAACAAGGAGAGGACAAAATATTGACTAACAATAAATTTAGCCCAAAACTTGGTAAGATTTCTATTCAGTGGTCAACTTTTTGGTAACAACATTTACTAGTGGATCTTCAACTTCAAGAGAAAGCAGCAATGGAATATATAAAGGGTTAGCAAGTAACTCGTCTCCAAGGTTTTGCAATTAACTAAGAATATTTGTATCATCAGCATTTTTAAAGCACTTGCTCCACACAATAAGAGTGTTATTGGAGCAGTTCCATCATATTACTGTGCTATGTTCCTAATTTAGGTTGATCTTCATCAACACTACAAAGTTCACAAGTCCGTAATGTGATACTCCTTATTTTAGACTGCTAGACATTCTGTCAAACAGTTGGTGGATAAAAAAAAATAATAATAATAATTAACTAATCAATTCAAAATTTCACTTTCAATGGATGGAGACATTCTGTCAAACAGCTTGTGGATTAAAAAATAAAAATAATAATAATCAATTCAAAAGTGCACTTTCAATGGAGATATATATATATATACCCTTTGCCACTTCGCCTTTTTGGGGACATCGGCTGTGAAATTGTGTGTTTGGCCTTAGTATGTAATCGGCTACTAAAGTTTGAACATATTAATACTGACAAGTTTTTTGTTTTGTTTTGTTTTTTCTTAGACAAACAACTACGAGGTTTGTACATGCTCCTTATTTTAGACCGCTAGGGTTTTACAACTGTAAAACTTTGGGCTGATTATTGTAATCCTGCTACTGCGGTTCCACTATTGTATAGTTACACTTTTATAAAATTATAAATTTAACCTTTCAAAAAAAAACTCTAAAATAAATACAAATGTACCTCCAGAATCCACATGGAACTCATATTCGGCCACGCTCTTGATCACGTTTTCAGGCAGCGGCATTGAAGACGTACTTATGGATTGGGAGTTGGAGGTTGGGCGATCTTTGTTAGTTGTCGAATAGGGACTGATATGGGTTTGTTGAGGGGTGGATTGGTTGAGAGGGAAGCCTGGGCGGTGGTGGAGGCGGTGTTAGGGTTTGAGAGGGTGACGGTAGGGTTTTGGGAGGAGAAAATGTGATGAGGTTGTAAACACGATATTTTTTAAAAAACTTTGAGCTCAAGTGGCGGGCTAAGGCAAAATACTAATAACCACGTCAATAAAAAAGACACATTATTGTGCTAAAATAGTGACGAATTATTTTTTAAGATTTAGCCCCAACAAAAAATTTCCATCCAAAACTTTTTGATAACTGCGGGAAAGCCTGTCGAGTTTCTCGCCGAGCCCCAACTACTATGATTTTTTTTTCCCGGTAAATCAAATTACTATGATTCCCCCACCCCCACATGAGCAACGATAAACCTAACTTTCGAGGGTCCAACGAGACAGTAGAAAAGAAAGTAGCATGCATTTCATTAGGGAATAGCAAGTTATATATGATGATGTCCAAAGAGACACTCTCAATCTTTAGAAGGTATTGTTGTGGTATTGCATTACATTGGTAGAAGAATCAAATGTGTGATAGTGTGGAAAGTTATTAGGAGGATCAGTCCGTATGGGCAATGTAGGGTCTTGGTGCATCTGAATGCAAAGCATCTCTGCTTGAGCCTGTGCAAGCTGCATTTGGAGCTCGGACACTTGATTCTGTAAGCAGGAAATCGCCCCAACGCATCCATACACCGGGTCTCGAACTCTTGCATTTGCTTCATATGCTAAACTGCTCACTGCATCTGCTCTCTGATGAACTGGAAGCTCCTGACATGTCAAAGAAAAGAGGGTCGGTCACAGAACAATCCATAAACAAAAACAAACCTCATGTACGTACTTGCATATATGTGAGATACATATATACTACAAAATTATAATATATATAGGGGATGGGAGAGAGACCTGCAACATCTTGCTAACATTGCTGGCACCAAAGACCTTGTGAACAATGGCAAAACTAAGAGGGTCTTCGGGAGGGAAGTAAGGTGCAAAGATGCAGTCCTCCGCGCAGCGCCGCCTCAAAAGCTTGCAGGAAGCACAGGGTGAACTTGCTCGGCCGGTCATATATATCCGTTGGATCAGCAAGAGAGGAAGATAATTAAGGAAGTTAACAGGAGCATCAAACAAGGATTTGTGTCTAGGGGTGGCAATTTTTATCGCCCCGTCCTGTCCCGTCAATAACGAGATATGGGAACAAATTTTATACCGTCGGGGCGGGATACGAATTCTTAACCCGCCACGGGTCGCGGGGCGGAGACGGGTTCTGTTAAATACCCGTCCAGCCTTATATACATTTTTAAATTATATATATATATATATTATAAGTTAACCCTAAAGCCTAAAGTGCAAAACACTCTACCGCCTCACTCCTCAGTGTCCAAAGACCAGTTCTCTCTAAGGTATAACCTCTCTCATCGCTTGTTGCAGGAACCAAACAAAACTTCTATTTCTAACCTCTCATCTCCTTCAACACCCAACTCGCCTGCAACTGAATTGCCTCCAAGTTATACAGTCTATTTTTTTTCACCTGCGCAAACGATCTCGTGGATCTATATCAAAAATTTGCAGGCGAGTTTGGTCTATATTTTTTCATCCCTCACGGCCTCACTCTTCATCTCTTTCTTCTATAGTTTTTTTCGTAATTTAATTGAAATTTTCAAAAAATTCCTTTATAAATCTTTTGGGTCGGGTTATCTATATTTTTATATATTCAATATTCTTTCTCTGCCATTTTAGGGATTTTTATTTCTTTCTCTAATTTGAAAATCGATGTTCCCTCTGCCATTTTAGGAATTTTTGGTGAATAACGTTCTCTTTAGGGTTATTTATATTTCTATATATTCATTTTTTTTTCTCTCAGCCATTTTAGGGATTTTTGGTGAATGATGTTATCTCTGCCATGAGCTGTGATCTGAAATCATTGTATAGTAATGGGCTGGACGGGGCAGGCACGGGCATAGGTATCTCCCAAAGGGGCGGGGATGGATGGTAAATTTCAACCCGTCCCGGAACACGGGCGGGGATGAATTTGTTATTAATCTGACGGGGCGAGTATGGATTTAGACAAATCTGCTCCAAACTCGTTCCGTTCCCATCCCTATAATTGTGTTGGTGATCGAGATTGAGTTAGGAATGCCTATTTATAGTAACTATGGGGAAACGTGTTAATTAGGTGGATTCAAATATTACACTAATTTATGTATTTTTAAAGATATTTTATTTTAATAAATAAATAAACACGGCTCATTATTACCAACCTAGTTAGCAATGATAGAACTTGATTTCTAAACATTAATTTATATAAAATTTTACAGTTATAACAAGTGGGAAAAAGTACATGAAATGTACGTGGTTAGATCATCAAGGGTAATTTAGTAGGCTAGGGTCGTGCATGGTCGAGTTTCACAACTTTCACGTTTCATCTCTTTTGACTCTTGATATTGGCTTTAATTATTTCCACACGCATGCACTCTCCTATGAGTTACAGTAACAAGGCTTAAATCATCTATCCAATTAAGCTCATTAACTTTCCAACAGCAATTGGGTTGGGCCTTTTGTTGGCTGCCTCTTAAGCTTGTTCGGTCTTTGGGCCGGTTCTTGGGCTTTGCCCTCTTTTTTTGTTGTATATATCATTTTCCTATTTATATATTTTGATTTACCGGCAAAAAATAAATAGATAAATTTTTATTATTTAAAGACTAGTTTGGAGTATGAGCGCGCAATAAATTTTAGGGAAAAGAAAGTAGGGTTGAGTCATCATTACTCATGAGTGAATAGTAAACTGGTGTGAAAAGATGCAAAAACCTAACACGGACCCTGACCCTGGTCCGTGTTACCATCAAAAACATTACTTGACCTGTTAAAATAAGGGACATTTATTTTATTATTATTATTATTTTAAAAGGTTAAACAAACTGACACATTCATGCATTTACTGAGTTCAAACATCTTACCTTTCCTTTAAAGTGGACCAACAAGTGTGACTCCAAAGTACTTGAGATCAAAGGAAATAATCGAGTTGTCTCAAAAACAAATAGGTGCATGAGTTTCTCATTAATGAAGAAAAAATAAACAAATAAAAAGGGTAGTATGGTATATCCCATCAAGTCGATCTGGAAGGTTGAATGTTTAGGTTCCATTAAGGACAAAAAAAGTTAATGCTTGAATTTCTTGAGGTGTTAAAAAGAAAAATCATTACAAATTTAACTTTTTCCATTTCACGGTTTTTTTTTTTTTTTTTCCCCTGAATATTTCACAGGTTTATTATACAGTAGTTTTCCAATTTTTGTTTCATGTTCGTTTGATTATAATTATTCTCAACTACATTATTAATCCAGGAATAATTTTGTATTTAATTAATTCCCATGCAAAGAGTGACCTTTTCTTCTCTTTTCTTTTTTTATTGTGCATGAAAACAATTTTTTTTATTATTATTACACGGAGACAAGAAACTCACACTGACTTTTTCTTTGTCTCTAATGAGCCTTTCAATTATTTTACAATAAAGAAGAGAGACCACTAGAATTTGCCCAAAATAGAGTGAATTTGAAATTAATTAATTTAAACACGATTCAATATAATTTGATCTAAATGAGATTTTGGATAACATTCATCTGTAAGTGAAAATCCATATCCAACCCATTTTGAAATCATATTTAAAAAATTAAGATCCAATTTCATTAAAATGAACTTTGAATCAAATTTCGGGAATTTTTTTTTTTTAATCATTATCAAGAAACTAACACATCCACTTTACTCATTTGAAGACTCGAATTCTCACCACCCGCTCTGGGAGGTAGGAAAGATATCACTGAATTACAAGGCCCTTGGTCAAATCTTGAAATAAACGCACGGTAATTTGATGCAATTAAAACGCTTGGTATTATGGTATATCATGTTAGTCAAAAAATTTTATTTTTTATACTTTAATAAAAAAAAATACACTCACATACCTATTTACCCACACTTTTTGTTCGCGCTCAAGCTCGAACATCTTCCCCCTCCTCTTTAAGAATAGGAAGGTTAAACCATTCGACCATATAGCCATTGGTAAGATCCACATAGCCCCATTGCAAATAGCTGGTCCTTAACACCCCGGATATGCAAATTCCATTTTGAGTTAGGCCCTCTTCGACAATTTCACTGGCAGCAGATTTTTAGTCAAGCTGAAAGTCTTAGCAAGCTTGGGCTATTATTGAATATATTATCCAGCCCAGGCCTAATTTTCAAGCATGTGTCAGCATTCGTTTAATGTGGCAGAGATAATGCACAAAATTAAACCAGTTCGTTTTATGGTTATAATGTTGGGTTTCTAATTTCACAGGTTAATTTTGCACTTGATTTGAAATATTTGATAGTTCCACATTAAAAATAAATTAAATTTCTATGCATCTTTCGCTAATGATCTGGTAAATTTCATATTTGATCATAAAATGTGTCAATGCGCACATTCAATCTTATTGATGTCAAATTTAAGTCTGTCAATCAATATTTTTTTGATCAATTTTATTTATACTATGTTCGATAGCATAAAATTGGTCCCTTAATCCATTTCATTTTCTGCTTTCAATATCTTAAATTAATTTCTTAGCATTTGACCATCAATATTTTGGTAAATTAGAGTAACCATTTACTAAAAAGGTAGTAGTAAGATATAAACGAAATTAATACACCACCATCTTCAAATAATTTTGATCGCTTAACCTAGTGTCCTCATCTTTATGTTTGGTTTCACCCTTTTTTTTTTTTTTTTGGGTGATATATGGTGGAGGATTAACTACATATATCTATATGGTTGTATGTGAAAACTATTTCCAGACTAATACGAAAAAAATTACATATACACGAAGTTAGAGTATTTTTTTACAATCGATCACACGAAGTCACAGTTTTCAAATTTTAAGTAGATAAATTTTTTAAAATTATTGTGCATTATTTTGATATTTGAAAATGACTTCGTATGACTATAGAAAGGGTCCCACACTTTATGTGTATACAATTTTCCCTTATAAAATTTTTTTTTTTTTTTTAAAAAAAGGCAAGGAGAAATGGCCAGAACAAAGGGGAAGGAAAAAAAATATGAAAAATAAGGAAAAATTTCTAACATATATATTCAAAAAAAGTGACTCGTCTAGGGTTTCGCTGACTTTGAAGGGACGTCGCGTGAAGTTGAAAAAATTAACAGGAGACTAAGAGTCCATTATAATTCACGATACAAGGGACTCTCCTTCTCTCTCTCTCTCTCTCTATATATATTATACATACATGTGTGGGGTAAATCTATTTAGATGTCCTGTCTTAGGGCCGGAGGTAATATTTAGTATTTACATACAAAATGGTAGAAATTGTACGGTAGAATCCATACTCCAACTACTTTTACCATTTGTTGGAACGGCTTGTATGACATAAACCAGATTGCATGGTGGTTTAGGGGCATACCTAACCAGTAAACTTTTGTAAACGGTCCATACAAAAAGTTGCTAGTGTTGAATATAGAGAGAGAGAGAGAGAGCTAGGTTGAATTTTTCAAACAAAGATATATATATATATATATATATATTCTTCATGTAATCATAATTCACATTATCAATCATTTGTACATGAAGAATCAAGAAATCTAGACGTTGTGGTGCTTTGAATACATCTTGATAGACCATATGAATCAAGAGTGTGATCGATCACATGTTTCAAATCAAGATCTAATTGTTAAAGTCTTTAAGTTTGACTTAAATTATGGACCCTCGTTAATCAAAAGCATATTGTAATGATGTAATTGCTCCCTTAAAACATTACACTAACGATTGACGCAAGACTTAGCTGTATAAGTATGTGTTTGTATGTATGTATATATATATATATATATATATATATATATATATGACCAATGGATCCCAACTTTAAATATGATCATGGTGATATAATTATGATATCATGAATTGCAGTCTTGGATTCATTCTTCGAAACGAGGAGTACATTTGTCCAATGTAGGAGGCACACAAATACACCAGCGGTGCAAAAATTCACTTGAGATTATTCAGGAAAAAAATAAAAATAACACTGGAGATTAATTATAGGGCTCGTGTAGTATCACTCCAATAAGACCCCTCTCTCTCTATCTCACACACAAGTGCGAGATCTAATACACAAGCTAATTGACTAGCCATTTCAGGTCCCAAAGCATTGCATCCAACATATGCATGTGAATCGGCAAGTCATTTTGGCTGGCCAATTTTGCCTGAGAATCATGGCCCTCAACTTATTCCATCACTCCTACTACCTTTTGCAGAAGAATATACTCGGTGTTCTGGGCGCAGTCCATTAAAACAGTCCATTTCCCACGCTTGCGCTACACGCTTGGTGCTGATGTGTCCGGTGCACCGAACACACTGAATACCTTCTCCTTTTGCAGAGAGGTGTATATATTTTCATTGATGAAAATTGACAAATACCTTCTCTCTTGTTATCATTTTCTATTTTGTTATAAAAAGAGGCTTAGGTCCCATTATTTGATCCAAGGCCATTGAAAAATTTCAAGATTTTGAGGCTTCCAAATTAGTATGACTTTTTCCATCCTATGACATGAAATCCTACTTGGTGTAAATGAAGAAAGAAGCAAGGATAAACCCTAATTTAGAGGGTGAAAAGAGACACTAGCATGCATTTCATTAGGGAATAGCAAATTATGTCCATAGAGACTCTCTCTTTAGAGGGTCTTGGATTACATTGCTAGAAGAAGCAAAGCTGAGATACTGTGGAAGGTTATTATTGAAGTTATTAGGATCAATCTGTATCGGCAAGGTAGGGTCTTGCTGCATCTGAATGCAAAGTATCTCTGCTTGAGCCACTGCAAGCTGCATTTGGAGATCAGAAACTTGATTCTGTAGGTAGGAAATCGCCCCAACGCATCCATACACCGGGTCTCGAACTCTTGCATTTGCTTCATACACTAAGCTGCTCACTGCATCTGCTCTCTGATGAACTGGAAGCTCCTGCCATGTCAAACAATGACAGTTACACAGCATGCCACAAACAAAAACCTCATTTGTGTGAGATACAAAATTACATGGATATACATATACATATACATATACATATACATATATAGAGAGGATCAAGAAAGACCTGCAACATCTTGCTAATATTGCTGGCACCAAACACCTTGTGAACAATGGCGAACTTATGAGGATCATCGGGACGGAAGAAAGGTGCAAAGATGCAGTCCTTGGCGCAGCGACGTCTCAACAGCTTGCAGGAAGCACAGGGTGAACTTCCTCCAGCCATTTCCCTTTCAGGGACAACCTGGGAAAAAGGGACTTTTCTTTTGGTGGAAGAGGAGAGGAAGATAAGGGAGTTTAGAACTACTAAACAAAGTGCAGTGCTGGTAAGAATGAGCGGAATGCCTATTTATAGCAACTAATGCGGTTTCGGGTATTTATTTTTTAAGTTAGTTCATTTTAACAAATAAAAAAAGATAATTCAAAGCACCATTTTCGGAAAAGAAGAAATTATTATCTGGAATCATTGACCAATCAGTATTTGACACCAAAGTAAAAAATTAAATAAAACTTAAAATATTTCTTATACATTTACATAGGTGTCAAATAATAATTAGTCCGAAATCATATAATAATTTCTCAAAAGGAAGAAATTGGGATGTATAATGCAAGAGCTGCTTTCTAAACCCTTCTAATCATAGTTATAGCACGTGGGAACAAATGTTTCTTGTGGCTTTCAAGGGTACTTTAGTAATTACATCTTGTGGGAAGACCACCGGAAGAGCTCAAGGTTGACCACAGGCTAGGCGTGCGATCGAGTTTCACGTTTCGCTTTATTACTTTATTTATTTCCACGAGAGTTGCAGAAGAGAAAGCAAAGCAACAAAAAAAAAATTAATTTTTTTTTTATTTAATGATTAGTTTATAATTTAGACTAAGAGCTATAAATTCTATAGGGAAAAGAAAGTAGAGTAGGGTTGAGTGAACGGTAAAAACTGGTGTTAAACGATGCAGAGACCTAACCCGGACCGAGAGAGATGGGTTCAACGTGAATGTTTGTTGGCGGACATATATTACATGGAAATATATAAATTTTATACGAACATCTTCATTTGATCACCACCGTGCACGACTAACACCCTAGCTTGGGTAGATAATCAAAAGCTGTGGTAAAAATAAATAAATCAAATGCTCAGCAAACAAGAAACAAAGATAAACAAAATTAAACCTTTCGTGCCTCAAAAATGTTAACCAAATTTTATTTCACTTGAATTATTAGACAATTCTAATGACGCGAAAGATATGGAAGATATTTTAGGCAATATTGAAAATTATAATTCGGTTTTCATATGAGAATTTGTGGTCTCTCATGTTCTATTGTGTGAGCTGTCAAACTTTCACTTTGTCTACAGCATAATTACAGGGAGTCAATTTGTGGTAACGCCCTATCAAGACATAAATATCTTGTTAAATGGGATAAGAAGAAACACAATTATTACAAAACTAACACGACATGACACATGTTAACCTGTTAAATAAATGAATCAAGACTAGACAAAACACGAAATAATACGACAAGACACATTAAACTTATTTTTTACACTAACACACAATATATTTATCCAACACGTTTAACTAAATGAATCACTCTTAACACGAACACAACATGCGAAAAATATGGAAGATATTTTAGGCAATATTGAAAATTATAATTCGGTTTTCATATGAGAATTTGAGGTCTCTCATGTTCTATTGTGTGAGCTGTCAGACTTTCACTTTGTCTACAGCATAATTACAGGGAGTCAATTTGTGGTAACGCCCTATCAAGACATAAATATCTTGTTAAATGGGACAAGAAGAAACACAATTATTACAAAACTAACACGACATGACACATGTTAACCTGTTAAATAAATGAATCAAGACAAAACACGAAATAATACGACAAGACACATTAAACTTATTTTTTACACTAACACACAATATATTTATCCAACACGTTTAACTAAATGAATCACTCTTAACACGAACACAACATGCGAAAAATATGGAAGATATTTTAGGCAATATTGAAAATTATAATTCGGTTTTCATATGAGAATTTGAGGTCTCTCATGTTCTATTGTGTGAGCTGTCAGACTTTCACTTTGTCTACAGCATAATTACAGGGAGTCAATTTGTGGTAACGCCCTATCAAGACATAAATATCTTGTTAAATGGGACAAGAAGAAACACAATTACACGACATGACACATGTTAACCTGTTAAATAAATGAATCAAGACTAGACAAAACACGAAATAATACGACAAGACACATTAAACTTATTTTTTACACTAACACACAATATATTTATCCAACACGTTTAACTAAATGAATCACTTTTAACACGAACTCAACATGTTAATTTAACACATTTAATTAAACGGATTAAGTAAGTTATAAACGGACTGGTGTGTCAAATACAAACACGACACGTTTAATTATCATGTCAATTCGGATCGCTACGATTAAAATACGAATACAATTAAGCCGAAATCTAAACCTACATATTCTTGTTAGAGTCGCCTTAGCTTGTCTTATTAAATATTGCCGGTTTGCAAATTGTTAAAGAGTCTTTTGGTTTTGCATCAATGTTTTCCATGAGTTAATAGTCATTTCGTCTACAGTGTCATTATAGTTGTCACCATCCAAATTGTTAAGGATCTTTGGATTTTGCATTAGCGTGTTTCATGAATTTAAACAGTGCTCCTTTTATTACTACGAATGTTAGAGTGAGATGACATGCATTTTCTTTGTGATTATCTACAAATAATTTGAAATGCAAAACATGAAGAAAAAAAAAGTCATTATTTACTATATCTGTGGACCTTACAATGTATACTAATTGAATAAAATATAGCCCAAATATATATATATTTTTATTTCAGAGAAGGAAAACAGTTCCAAGTCTAAGTGTGATTTTTATCAAAGTAAAAAAATAATAATAAGATAAAATAATGAAGTGGGGAATTACCATGGGACCCATTCAATCTTAACCGCTGCTAGCCACTAATAGCCCTCAGATCAAAATTAAACGTACTTGAGAGAAAGTCTTACGATCTCACGGTCCTCAAAAAAATGACAATACTAATTTCAACAAACATTGCGTTTGCATGTCATATGATGAATGCGAAACCTATATTCAATCGGCTCGAACTTATCTATAACAAGAGATTTCTGAATAAATCCCATTAAATTAGTAGAAGTTGTAGAGCCCTAAGACAGATTCCTTTCTTGCATTTAATGTTCCCACATGATTCCAAGCTTCTAATCTTCCATTCCGAGGAAAAAAACAGCTCTCTTTCCCTAGTTGTCATCACAATCTTATATATGTTTTTTTTATACGCACTTGTCTTATAAACCAAGTCTTTGCTTTATTTCTCTCTTATTATTTATTTAAGAATAATGGGACCTCTCACAGTTGAATTTCAAACTATATTACCTCACAAAACGCGTAGGTTTCTGTTTCAGTTTGAAGTTTCAAACCCCTAGGCTCTAGGAAGAAGAGACGGTGTAGACAGGATGAGAACCTTGTAAAATTTTTTAAACTATGTTTTATAAACTAATGAATAAAGTATGAGAAAAACAGACATCTTTCCTTATCTTGGAGAAAATAAAACATGACAACTCCAACGCAGACATTAAATGCGCTTGGTGATATGGAAGATTCGATTTTTGGGACATGCATGGTTTTCAAATTCTAAAATGGTGGAGACTTGAAGCCATTTTAGACAATAATCTCTTGTATGAGGTTTTAAGGGCAACTTACTTACCTGAGGTACAATTACTCGAACAGAGTGGCCTTGGATTTTCAATGCAGAGATTTCTATCTAAAAATATACTAGTCTAGACTCCATTAGGGAAGAAAAGAGGAATGCTACCTCAAGCATCGATCACGTGGGGACTGTCTGTTGTTAGATGAGGTGAACCCTAGGATGAAACTAGCGGCGCATGGCGCGTGTCCATGGCAATGGCTAGGAAGATGATTAGGGTAAGCATGCACATGCAATCGGCATGTGATTGCATGGATGAGGCTTATGCTAATCTGTTTCTGCAGATGTAACATTTTTTTTTTTTTACTTGGAATTTAATACAGATTCCCTATGCCTCTTGTAGCATTTAGTATTGTAGTACATAAAGCACATGTAGGACTAAATCATAGTTGGAGTTGGGTATGTCCTTTAGGTTAGTAGGTAGGACTAAATCTGGACCCTAGATATTCAGGCCAGCCAGCCTGATAATGGCTGATCAATAGTAATGTAAATTACCTTAAAAGAGTGGGATCAGAGTGGACCAACACAGCACCACCAAATTCAGTGCTCAAGCCCAGTCCAAGGCAACCTTTCCATTCTCTATGCCCACCTAAAAGAACACCATTCCCTTCGAGGACTCAGTAAATACATTCATTTTGTGACCTATATAAAACTTCTGAGAAAATTTAATAACGAAATCAAAGTAGGTTTCTGGCATAGAGTCCAATCTAAAAGGAATACCCCAACCCTGTGTATGAACAACATACCTTTCCATTCTCTATGCCCACCTAGAAGAACACCATTCCCTTCGAAGACTCAGTAAATACATTCATTTTGTGACCTATATAAAACTTCTGAGAAAATTTAATAACGAAATCAAGTAGGTTTCTGGCATGGAGTCCAATCTAAAAGGAATACCCCAACCCTGTGTATGAACAGCGTACAAATTGTATTGGACATGTGATGTATGATTACCATTTGAGTTGTCACCGTCAAAAATCTTCACTGTTTGCTAACCTTGTGAGCAACTCTTACAACGTCCACATAGCACCTATCCATTCCAACACAACACTTTGCTTAGACAAATTATTCCTGCAATAGATAGCAAGTCATGTAAATTTAGTCAAGTACGTCAATAACACAAGTAGTAGTAAGGACTAAGGACCTCAATATTTTGTGGCATTTGGTTCACTTGTAATCTGCGGCATGAGTTGGTGTTCTTGGAATTTTCGAATATTACGCATCTTAACTCCATTTCTGAACAGAGTGCTTGCTGACCATGGTGTAGCTTTACTCTGCTGTTTTGTGCTATTCTCCACTGTTTTCTTTTCCAAGTACTCTGCTGCCTGCGCCTGAACTGTTTTATCACCAAAGACCAATTGAAATGACTGATTAAGACGTGATCATAAATTTATATTTATATATGGCAAACAAAACTTCAATGGCAAATATTATCCACCAAGATTGCCAAGGAGACACTAAAAATAAATAAATCATTCAATCAATATGAATTTATTCCGTTGTAAATAATACTGATTTTAATAGGCTACAGGTTTCCTTATTGGATAATCAAAGCTTCTCATGATAAAGTAGTTAGTCTGCTACACTGCTTCCATCATTGCAGACTGCTGAATGGACGATACATAAATAAACAGATACAGGATACACAAAATTCTCACATTCAATCATGTTCTCCAGAGGTCAAGCATAGTGACATTGTCAAAACTGCATGCCAATAATCATGATGTATTGTCAAACATTACAGATCTACAATAGACCTCAAATGAAATTATACTATGGGATTAATCCAATGGTACAATTTGTAGATCCATTGATTCCATCCCACCTGTAACATAATTTGGTGCACAGTAACATCGATTTGCCACAATATACTTCTCTGTCAGATTAACAAATAGTACCTGTGAGTAGTGCATTTTGATCATCTTATATTGTTAACAACTGTAGATTGTGGATTTTCACTTTGCTCCACTTCAGTGCCATTTTTTAACAGTCAGCCTGAAGTGTCCCAACTTTTTGGAGACTAAATGTCATGCCAACCAGTTTATGTTGCACTGATACTTTTTCATGAAACACAATGTTCAACGTGTTGCGCTAAAACCATCCACAAAACCCCAGAAGGCAGCATTCGTGCCTTCAATGAGTTTGTTCATCACTAATTAATTCATCTCCCACATAAAACCAAATCAACTCATAAAGCCCAACAGAACCAATAAGAATTTTTTTCCCTGAATGAACCAATAAGCTTTGCCTTCTTCCCATTCACTAGAATATTCAACCAATCAAAGTTGACCCTCAACATGTAATCTTATATAGGCATGGGTGGTTAGTGAGCACATCTATGTTACATGGCCTCTCCTATTTCCGTTCACATGCCCGTGTCGACACAACATTGGTATGGGTACAAGTCCGATACACAAACCTAAACTAGACACTCCGATACTTCACTCTGCATCATTGGAGAAGAACAAAAAAACTCAAACATAATACCAGAGATGAGTTTCTTATCTATGAGATGGATGGAAACCTTTTTCTTCTACCACATCTCTAAAACCTTTGCTTCACCACATCTCATATAATTTGAGTAATAATTGAATATATTTTTATAAAATACCATCATTGAACATTACAATATAATAAAACATATAATGTATTTACATGCGTAGTGCGTAGCCATATCCAACTTTTGGACACATATCCCCATATCTTTATATTTGGGATTTGAGGATGTCCGACACTTGGATACACACCCGCGCCCGTTACACTTACTTGAGATCGGGTAAATATAGTACACATTACACTTATCTTGTACATACATGAGGCAGTTCTAAAATGTAATGTTGTTTATTGATAAAACTTTCATATAAATCAATTTCTTTGTATACGCTATTGAATCCACCAATATCAGATTTTTAACACTAATGTCCATTCAACCAAATTATGCTATACTGATTTAAGCCTTACAGGGATTATGCCAAAATAATTGGCTGTCAAGGGTATAAGAGCAAACAGTAGCTATCTTTCAGGGAATGCACCATCAGTAGTTCGGCAATAATACTAGGTTTGTTCTATAGAATTGATGGAGCACAGCTAAGACTACCCAACCTCTCAGTTTCAAGAAGAGCTAGCAACCGATCGAGCAGAATTTTTTTTCAAGAATTAACACAATGAGTAAGACATACCAGATCGTGAAGCATCAGATGCCACGGCAAAATCCTTTAGACTCTTAATTTTGTCAATAACTTGATCATGTTCAAAGAACTCTTCTGTTCCAGGGTAAATCACACCATTCATCTGGAAGCATGAGAGTGCATTTTCACATGCCTAAAAACATAGAAGTCAAAAATTGAAGGCTAAAGTTAGTGAAGTACACAGCTTCCCCACCACAATAATTCCAAGTATTCAGAAAAATTAAGGCTAGTCATGTTAAGCCAAAAAAACATTATGAAAAAAAAAAAAACAGGTTGAAGAATTTATTTATACTGGCAATAGATATTCGAGGGGTACCAATATAAATTAAAAAATTCAAGGCTAGTCATGTTTCGCACACTGACTTCAGTTCTCAATGCAAGGAATTGGTTCATTCAAAATCAAAGACATATAAACCATCCCCGATGTCAACAAAATCTATGGATAAGACATATAACATATTCCAGGAAAATGCAACTGTGGATAAGACATATAGATACTCAAAAAAAAAAAAAGGGTGATGCAATGAATCCAACAAAATCACCGAATGAGCCCAAAAATAATCTAATTGCTATTAAAGTTCATTAGCTCTAGCACATCTAACTTACAACTAGCTTCAGCTAATGTATTTGAAGCTTTCATTAACCCATAATTTGAATTATTATGTAACTGATATTTGTATGTAATTCTATTCAAACCAGATAGTTTTACAATTGGTTCTTTTAACTGCCGACATGGCTCCTTCTCTCCTAGATGTCAAAAAAGATAAAGGACAGTCCAATGTTCCATGAATTGCAAAGGAACCTTTACTACAAATTATAATTTTACCTTTCTAGCAATGGAATAGTAACCATTATCTAGATGTCGAAAAGATAAAGGACATTCCAATGTTCCATGAATTGCAAAGGAGCCTTTACAGCATCAGCCTGTATAACTCCAAACTAAGCATAGCATGTCCCATGTCAATGAAACTAATTGGCATTGGTTAACACCATTCTTCGGTTTTGATGGTCAAAAATGCCACCTTACGGATACACACTCAACATAATAAACATATTGTGTAATGACCTATTACGTTGCATGGAAATTGCAACACGTTAAAATTTTACCTTTCTAGCAATGGAATAGTAACCATTATCTAGCGAATGTTCAGCAAAGGTCATCCATTCTCTGTACGAAACTTGTAGCCACTGATTAGTTGCAGACTTAAGTTCCCGCAGAGTTAAGGCCTCGTATCTCAAAGCCAAGCAACTCTGGAAGCATTCAAAATGTAGAAACACAAATCAACATGCATCGAGCAACAGTAAAAACCACTCAGTGTAGCTTTCATTGCACAAAATTTGAGAAGAGCCTAGTTAATTGTCATTTATGGAGTGAAGAAAGATGTAAACTATAAAGACTACAGAATTAAAGGACTTCAAATAACTTCTTTTGCATGAAAAGGAAGAAAACTTTATAATTTTGACGTGTTCAAGTTTTGGTGATGTGTCCTTTGGGGAAGCTCATGCTTGAATCACGTGGTCGAGTCAATTTGATCACTAAACCACCAGGGCAAAATGGGACAGGATTTCGCAAGCTAATCTCTTGACTTATTTGAAAAAAAACCTTTAAAACGATGAACATAAAGCTAAAATGAAGATGAAACACACACACACACAAACTTTGAAGGGCTATTCTGGTACGTGATTTTGATAAAATGATCAAACAGTAAGCATTCTTAGCTCAGCTAATTCAAGTAACAATTTCATAAAAGTGACATTTCAGTTCAACACTACACCACTAAGATATGACCACAATTCATGAAGGTTGATGCTCATATTACTTTCAAGTTACAGAAATATGCGATCAAGACAAATCTAAACCGCCAGAACATATATTAATCCACACAAAGTCGATGAAATCGAAAATAAACTTAATCAATGATGAATCTGGTAATTATGAAATAAGCAGACTGCAAAATAGATTGAATATTAACCTCGACATCACCGGCGAGAGCGAAAGCGCGAACGAAAAAATCGAGAATCTGAAGCTTGTGCTCAACAGTTTTCTCTGTGATTTCATGGAGAATGCGGAGAGATTCGCGCCTCATGAAATCTCTCAAGCTCGATCGGACTTCCAGTAACGATTTCACATCTTTGGAAACCATAATCGATTCGAGAATTCGTAGAGTTCCATCACCAAATCTGCTAAAAATTGAAAAAAGTTTAGTCCGATGACCAGAAAAACGATTGGAAACAAGAAATAAATTAGGGTTGGGTTAGAGGATTGAGAACGAAAAGTAACCTTCTGTGTTCAATTTGGGAGCGAAAGAGCGATATTTGCTGACCAAATCTATCAGACATTTTGAGAGAGAATTGGCGGTTGATGTTTGAAATTGGTCTCCTTTATTTACGCTTAGTTGGGGTTCCATACACTTGGCACCAACGTCAGCGCAGTGAACCTGGTGACTATTTGATTCATTTCTTTTATTTATTCTGAGTAATACCTAATAAAGGGTTTCTTATAAATTTTTTATAATTGACGAAATAGATTGGATTTCTAACTAAATGGAAGCCTTTAAGGACCTTTTGAGCCACATCGAAAGAAGTCCATCACTTCTGCTTAAAAATGAGATCATTAAGGTACTTCCAGATGGCCCAACAAGTGAAAGCAACGAGGCTTAAGAACTCGGCCGAGTAATCGGAATGAGACCATATCTCAGTCATGTCGACCCACCTCTTAGGCCAAAATGAAAAATCAGTCCCTCGAAAATCCATTCTCTCAATGGACTGTGAATCCACACCTCACGAGCGAGGGATAAGAACAGAGGAGATGTGTAATATTCCTAATTTTAAAAGATAGTCTCGGTATTTATTTATTTGTTTTAATTGTATTTTTAATTATTTAATTGATTATTTGACTAATTACTTATGTGTTTAATTGAATTAAGTATTACTTGATTATTTGATTATGTGTCTATATAATATTTGTATTTGTCTATGTGTTAATTGTTTAATTAGATTATGTACTTAAATGGTATTTTGATTAATTATAGATTAAATGTTTTCTTTTCTTTTATTATTTTATTTTATTTTTTTTTTAATGGTTATGGTTAGTAGTAATGGATCAACCAATTGGGTCCCATGAACTAATTGGATAGGAGGTTGGATGTGTATCGATTATTACCCATAGATAGTTGTGTATGTATATTATATACATATATAAAAAGGAAAGTAATTTATTAATTACTTTTATGGTAAATTTGGTAGTAATATTTAATCTGATGTATATGTTTTATATTTAAATAATAAAAATATACATAGATTTGATACGTGTTATGTTTTAAGTTACTTTATAATATTATGATAACTTAAGTATTATGGGATAATCCATTAATAAATAATGGAATGTTTATAATTTATTTATTTAATAAACATATACATAAATTATATACGTAACATATTTTACTTACCTTTTTAATATATATGAAAGGAAAAGTAATTTATTAATTACTTTTATGGTAACTTGGGTAGTAATATTTAATCTGAAGTATATATTTTATATTTAAATAATAAAAATATACATAGATTTGATACGTGTTATGTTTTCAGTTACTTTATAATATTATGGTAACTTACGTATTATTGGATAATTTATTAATAAATAATGAGATGTGTATAATTTATTTATTTAATAAAGATATACATAAATTATCTACTTAACATATTTTACTTACCTTTTTAATATTTTAATATTTTTTTTTTTAAGTTGACTTGTATTGAGAAAAGGGTTAGAGTTATTTTATTTAACCTATAAATATATAGTTATAGGTTGTAAAGGGAGTTAGAAATATTCACGTAATATATTCTAGAGGGAGAGAGTTAGAGAGGGAATGAGGAAAAAAACCCTATAGAGAGAAGATTAAGGAAAAAGAAGTTTAACTTTCAATACGAAAGTTTAAGGTAAGTTTTTTTTCTATCTCTTTCCCTTTGATTCGTGTTTCTATGCATGCCTAGGAAATTTCAGGATTTATTAAACACATAAAATTAAATAATTATGCATATTTAATTGGATTAGAATATAGATTTTATTAAATTGGTTCATATCTGTTCTTGTGTTATGAATTGATAAATGCATGATTTTGATTTGATTTCCGGTGTGAATTTTTATATGTTTACATTATGTATTTTTCATATCTATGGAATGATAGAACGTAAAAACATGTTTAGGATTCCTTAACATTAAATAGGAACTAGGTTTTGGTTTAAATAAATTTAAATAGACTCAATCATAATGATACTTGATATTTGAATGTTTTAAACAAACGAATAGATTTGATCTTTTAAAATATTTTTGTAATTAAGATTAAATGTGTAGGATGAATTAGATATGGACAATATTTATTTGACAGTATAATAAAATATCATCATGTATAAGATTCAATTTGTATAGGACATATGATATAGGAAGCTTAAATAAATAATAAGTCATTCCTATTTTGTAATAACTTGATATCATATTATCATAGCTATTTTTGGATTGTTTGATGTATTTCCTTAATCGTTACATCAATTATTGGATTGTGTGGTTTAAAGCACCGGTATGGGACGGTGGCATTCTAGGGACGGATTAACTTATCAGTTAAGTCCTACCTATTTTATATAAGGAAATGGATTAACTAAAATGTTAAGTCCTACTTATATCCAAGTCAGGTCAGCTAAACAAGTTGAATGACTTATGGAGGATTAATTTATTATATAAGGGAATGGATTAACTAAAATGTTAAGTCCTACTTATATTCAAGTCAAGTCAGCTGAACAAGTTGAATGACTTATGGAGGATTAATTTATATTGGATAGGATGGTTACTAGATTATATATATATAAGTATGGTGCCATGATATGAGCTTGAGTCTCAGGATCAGTGATTAGGGCGCATATATCGCCAAGGATGTGTAGTTAGATATAGTGTAGTTGTGTACCCTGGTAGGTTTAGGTACTCATGCCACTATATGTGTGTTTTGCATATTGCCTACTATTCAAGTTGAGACAACCCTATAGTCTAGTGAGGTTCCTATATATACGGACTACTAGTTACTGTTGGATTGACTAGGATGTATACGTGTATTGGATCTCTGCTTGGACTGTAGTAGAGTAGAATTTGTTTGTGGACCTGACCCACTATTATTTTTCAGGTGTTTGTCAAGAGTAGAGTTTGTTCGTGATGAGCGGGGATCAGTCTACTTCATTCTTCCGATGCTACATAGGAGTTCCTTTATGATTCAGTTTTCTGATTTAGACAGTTATTACTGTCATTTGTTTAGTTTGGATTTTCTAGGGGTCCACACAGTATGGATTCCCGAGTTGTATTTTTGAGGATCTGTGATACCCCTTGATTTCGAAACGCCGGGATGATCAAGTCCGTGCACAAAATTAAGGGATATCAAAACAATTAAAGTATTTCAAACAAGTACAGAGTACAAAAAAAAAAATAAAAAGAATAAATAGCTCGCTGAAGGAAAACTAATGAGTAACAATTTTCATTAATAACTATTAATTAATAATTCTCCAACAATTACAACTCGGAAATCCCGTAACTCAATGATCCCTTAAAACATTATCCAATAATCCAACACTACTTAAAAATATACAAACTGAATAGATGAATGACAGTCTCCCAGCTGCAAATCCTCAACCTCGAGATTGGAACTTCTAATAATCTGAAAAACAAATTGTGGGTTAAACCCTACGAGCAAGTTCTCTCTACCAGACCTCTGAAAACCGATAAGTAGATCATCTCTGATCAAAACTAAATCTAATAAAGTTTTTTTTATCTTTAATATACCATGATATACATATATATAAATAATTATATACAGTATAACAATAACATCTATAACTAGGTGCATTAATTTCAAAACCATTATCAATGATTAAATTATAATCGTACCTAGTCCAATCCACAATTTCCATATAAAGAAACTCCTCCAACCTTAATTCTATCCTAGAAGCAATTTAATAATTTAAACAATAAAATATAATTAAAAGAACATTATATTTAATTCCAAAACAAATAATGATTTTAAATATTTAAATCACACAGCCAATATCTAGGCTTTGACAAATCATCCATGTCACCGCCAGTATTATTTTATTAATATGTATAAAATAATACACTAACATATAAGTATAAACTATTTTAATTTACGAATATCTAATCCTAATCCAACTTATACATACCATATATGATATATTTTAATCATTAAACACATAGTAATATAATTACACTTTGGCAAGTCAACCATGCCATAATATATTTATTTATATATTGACAATTCAACCATGCCTCCTGAAAGTATATTTATTTATATATTGGCAATTCAACCATGCCTCCTCAGGTATATATATTTATACTTTTAACTTAGCAACTCATCCATGCTTCCTATTTATTTCTATTCATCCATCTACTTAGGCAATATATTTACGCCTTTGATAACTTATCCATGCCTACAATTCAACCATGTACCAAACTTTAGATTACCAACCAAACAATTCATACATAGGCAAATTAACTTATCAATAAAACAACACATACCTAGGCATTCCATGCATATCACATGCATATAATTAATTTAATAACAGCCTATCCATATATACCAAATAAGACTAATAATTTTATCATCTTAAGTGATATATACATATACCACTATATTATACAATATATATATGTATAATACCTTCCATATAATATATATATATATATATATATATATATATATATATATCCACCTCTCTTTCCATCACAAAAATATTAATTAATTATGTATACGCCAATTAAATGCTACTAATACCATAATAGTACTCTATGACTCTCAGAACACCAAGAATACCTCTTCTAATGGTTGCTTTTAACCCTAACGGCTAAAATATCAACTCTGGGAATTCACCGAACCCCACAGGAGCTTTCCAGGACCTCACACGCATTCTCACGCTCCCCCACGCGCCACCACAAGCTCCCACACTCTCTTCACGCGCTTTCACGCGCCATCATTCACTGGCAAGCGCGTCCAAGCGCCTGCACGCTCCCTCACGCGCCTGATGTACTCTCGACTTGCTGGCTTGCTTTGGTTGGCTGCTTCTCCAAGCTCTGGTGAACCGCGCCGCATAGGATCCTAATCCTATTGACTAGACCTCATCAAGGGTTTAAAAACCCACATGTACCATGACTCCATGTACTGAAATGCACCGTATCAACTCTCCGTTGACTTGACTACATCAAGCGCCCAGATTAGTGGTGCACTGAAGCTCCATGTACTGAATCACACCTGATCAATCTTCTTTAGCATAACTAATCTAATGGCCCTGATTGGCGCGTACACCCATCTATCCTACACCGCGCCGCACAGGATTAAACTCCTGTGATGATGGCCGAATGCTACAAAATCCTCCAATGTATAAAATATAAATATTATATACAATAATTGTCCAGAATAATTTTACAAATATTATAATAATATCAGAAAAATATAAAACAAGTCCCGAAAAATCCTAGAAAATTTCCAGAAAATACCATAAACTCTAGAAACCATAATTAACCCTATTAGGTCAAAGATCAACCTATAAATTGATTTTAAAAATATATACAACACTTATATATACAATTTAAAATCTAACAATCTAAAAATAAAAATATAATAATTTATCCTTTTAATTATTCCGATCTAACCATGATTTTAAACAAATAAATTTAGTCTAAAATTCTGATACTCAAGGTGATAAACTTATGGGTTCTAAGAGGAGAATTAGCCAAGAACTTGCTTGAAGGTTTCGAAACGAAACCGATGCTTCAAGCTTTGATCGTCTTTTCCAATTCCGGCGTCCTCTTTCTCCGATCCAGCCTCCTTTTCTTCTTTTCTCTCTGCCTCTCTTATTTTTTTTCTAAAGTGAAAAACCTTTTTAATAAATTAATCATATGTGTATATATAACCACGTTAATAACATAATCCTTTTCCAATTATGATTACCATATAAAAGAAATAATATTTATCTTTTAAATAATATATATACACACATATATTCTAAGATATATATGTATATTACCTTACATATATAACCATTAGTTAAATAAATTATATATACCTATATATATCAATATATATACATATTGACGTATATACCCCTCCATAATAATTATTAATTAATTATTTTTATATACATATAATTATATATATATATATATATATATATACAAAGATAATAATTATCTTCATGTCCATGGGCCTTTATTAATTAACCCAACAAGGTTTTCTTCAAGCCCAAGACCACATCCTTTGGTCCAACTTCCCTTAAGTCCAAATCCAATTAATTTAAATAAATTAAATAATTATTAAACACTTAAATTAAATAACTAATTACATAACGCATATAAACAAATAAGAAATGACAACCAAGTCACACTATACCAATAAAATCAACACGCCAATAATTCAATCAATAATTAAGCACACAAACAAATAATCATTATATATAATCACGAAATATAAAATTAATAAAAATAAGACAATTAAATCATAACACTCGATTAACTAAAACAAATCATTTAAAAATAAAAATAAAAACAAGTAATCCCAAATAAATCAAATAAATTATTTAAATAAAAATAAAAATCATCAGTTGTATCAAAAGAGTTTATTAATTAATAGAAATATATTATGAGATTTATTATTAGATTACCATTTTAGTTTCTTGTCAGCATTTTATTTATTCTTCTTTATTCTTTTGTATTCTGTGTTCGTTTATTATCAATTTGTTTTGATATTATCGGGTATTCAGGCGTGGGCCTGGCCAACCCGCATTCGAAAATCCGAAGGTATCACAAGATGATTCACCGATTCTGCCCAGCAATTGCAAAGAGGGCACTCGGACGAACACCTCAGAAACACCACTGCCAACAAAATGTTGACAGAAAGTCTTATTAGAACATGTTACTTGTACCTTTAAATTTAATATATCATAATATTGATTTCAATATTATAAAGAAAAATGTTGGAATTTTTTTTTTTTTTTTTTTTTCATAAACATCTAATTTTATATGGATTTTTCATACAAATAAAAAAAATTTAAAAAGTAATGTGAACTTACAATTACGCCCTTTCTTTTTATCTCTACAGGACAACATGTACTTTTTTTTCCTTAAAAACAAAATATATGTAAGCCTAACTTTTTGTAAGAATAGTATAATGATATGTATCTCTCTCTCTCTCTCTCTCTCTCTCTCTCTAATGTCCATTTGATAGGAAATGAAAAGAGAGGGGCAGAAGAAAAGTAGAAAGGAAGAAACAAACTTTATTCTTTTGGTAGAAAAAAATGACAAGAAAAGAAGAGAATAGAGAATGGATGAATCATCTTTTTTTCTTTACAAATTTTCATCATTCAAAAAATGTATAGAAGACACGGTCACACAAAGGAAGGAAGGAAGGAAGACAAGACTATTATAAATATTTTTAAATTATAAAACTTTCATAATAATTAGCATTTTCTCTTTTCTTATATCCTAAAAAACAAAATAAGTTATCATTTTATTCTATTTTCTTTCATCCAACTAAATAAAAAAAGGAAATAAAACAAACTTTTCCCAATGAAAGTTTTATTCATCTCTTCTTCAAACCAAACATAAATTTCGTAGAAAATAACTTGGCCCATTCAAACCATTAAATGAAATTATTTTATAACTTCCTTACAAAAAAATTGTCGTAAATGAGAATATGCTAAAACTTAGTTTCCCTTTGAATTTATTATCAAATACTTTCAACTTTCCATCATATCCCTTATTTCATTCAACAAAATGAACCATTAATTCGGGGCCAACTTTTTTCTACTCAACTTTCTTAAGATGTTCCTTTGTTTGAGCTTCAAATATTTTTTGAAAAATATTTCTGTGCTTTCTATATTTGGCTTTACGAAGAAAAAAAAAATTAAAATCTAACAAAAATAATTTATTCATTAATTTTTAACAAACTATTTTACACACCCCGACCTTAACCTTTATCAAACACCGAAAATAAAAATACAAGAAAATATTTTACCCCAAAATATATATATATTTTTCAAAAAAAATATTTTACATAATTAAGCGTTTAACTTGAATGTTGACTCATTATTCTTTCATTACCAATCAATAGAGAAATATGGCTAAAATTTTCATATCTAAAGTTCGCTGAGAGGACAAATTAGAATTGCAATAATATACTTTTTATGCTTTGTTAGGATATAAAAGATCAACTCATTATTTTTCTATTACCAATCATTATCTAAAGTTCGTCGAGAGGATGTGAAGAACTATAATGCCATAAATGGAGAAGATGATAGCAAATTAGAATTGCAATAATGAATCTTTTTATACTTTTTTTCCTTATAACTTCCCCAATGGAAATCTAAACTAGTGAAAAAATAATATCATAAAACAAAGTGAAGGCCATAACAATTAAAACTATCACAACACTAAAAATATTCATTAGATTTAAATTTTCTTGCATTCACGATAGACGAGTTTTGTCATTTGCATGACTCTACAACAATCCAAGGTCCAAGATTGCCACGGCCTATACCTGAAATTAAAGGATTGGTAACAAAAAAAAAAAAAAAAAAAAAATCCTACCAAAAGATAGAGATTGGGACTTGGTCAACGGTAACCCGTCATTTCACCCAAAGTGCATCCCTTGTACTAAGAACCGAAAATTCTAGCACTAGTGTATACCCAATCCAAAAAAAAAAAAAAAATCAGCCAAAATTTCACAGTAACAAAGGCCAATAAAATGCACCTCACATCCGAATAAACTATTTTATGATATTTTTCCTCTTAAAAGTTAGAAATGTAGGGGATAAAACAGATGGTAACCACCACCAACCATTAAATTGGGAACTCCAAATTCACAAATAGGAATTATAAGACATGCACATTGAGAGTTCAAAATGCTGCATTCTTCACCAAAGAGGATATTTGGTTATCCATTATGCAGATCGCTATCGAACATGATCTGTAGCTCCTATTCATTGATTGGGTTGAAGCAAAAAGCACAAGGAACAACGTGGCACTCCCCGTCAAAGGCATCTTACACGCATTTGCTGTAAGGAGAAATGAAGAAAGAAAAAGGACTTTGACATTCACGGACAACATCAAAAACTTATATTACAATCAACAGATAAAACTGACCATTTTATATAATATATATGAATACTGGCGTTAATGTTTCATCTTTTCTTTTTGTAAAAACCTAATTAGGATACCTTGCCACTTCAGCCACCCAGGCAATGGGGTAAAAAGTATAATACCACAAAATAGAATGATTGGAAAAATATGAAATGTTAAAAGGAAAGACGATAAAATGAAATAAGATCGAATCACCCAAGGAGCAATAGGGGTGGAAAAGAAGAGAAGGGGAACATGCAGTATTAGTGCTCCTTGAGGCTTTAAAAATGATTGGTAATAGAAGAAGAATGAGTTGTTAAAGCCTCAAGGAGCACTAAGGCGCCAGAGGCCTTTTGAAGCCTAAGTGCAATATAAGGCACAAGCCTGATCGAATTAAGGCGCATGTGCAATAATACTGCATATTTGAACATATATTATTGTATATATTCAGAATCAAGCAATAACTACAGTTAATGAACGTAGCGAACTATAAATTTATGAATTTTGTCAAATATTTCATTAAGGTTAAACATTACAATATATGACATAGAACATTATAACTTAGTAGTCACTAAAAAAAATAAATAAATAAATAAAAATTGATATGAATAAATGATTAACAAATACAGGGCACGCCTTCTTTGAGCCTGAAGCATACTAAAAAGTGAGAGCCTGATTGAAGGGGCTTGGCCGGTACTAGGTTCAGGCACTCTAACTTAGCCTTGAGGAGCCTGGGGATTTTTTGAAGCCTAAGCGCGCCTTTTGACAACTATGGGGTGCGGGGTGGGGAAGGAAGCTACATCATACAAACTTTCTCTGACTCGGTAGTCAGAAAAAAGGATGCATAAAAAGCACATTCATGCAACCACTCGTGTATATAGTACCACATGAAGAGCATTTGGCTTACTACCATAAATGTGCAATATCAAAAAGCAACACTCACCTGAAAATTTCAACCTACCTTAGCACCAATTTGGAGAATATCCACTTGCCTCTATATGAACATTCACACAATTCAAATCAATCCCAATCTTTAAGATAAAACCCCCTCCAAGTAGAAGAAGACAAAAGAGGAGAAAAGGGGTATTGCTCAAAGTGAGTGAACCTACCTTTTAGTCTCCAGTTCGAGAACAACCTCGCAATTGCAAAATAATTAAATCTCTCCTACCACAGTTTTTAGTACATAAATTGCTCAGCTGAAGTTCAGTATGGGCGTGAGCGGTTACCGCCACGATACTGCCTATCTGGACCAGAACCTCCACCATCTCTGAAATTGTCTCTGCGTCTGTCTCCGCCACCCCCATGGCCTCCCTTACCACCGCCACCCCCACCCTTGCTGCAAGAAGTAATCAATGATACAACAGCTAAAAAAGTATTTAATATTTACATAGCACAATAATTATCTTCTAATCTTGCACTAGACCGACGACATAATGCAAATGTGTTGTATTAGTTACAGTAGTACCCAACCTCTAGATGTATGCTTGGATCAAGAGAACACTCAACCCCCCAAATCGATAACTATAACAAAATATCATATACACATTGTCCTCGTCAACCACAAAATGCACACAGTAAGTTGATAAGGGTCGCATTTGAAAACAATATGCATAACAAATTACCATGCGATCTTAACCTGATAAAAGTTAACAATGTACTTGCATATATGAACTAATCATCATTCAAGTTTAGCAATAAAATTTCAATACTGCACTAACGAGTAGAAACACTGGCCAAAATCAGACAACATAAAAAATCTCCAATAATACTTGAAAATAAATTTCTTAGATGGCAATATCTTGTTAAAACATAACATAGGGCGGTAACTCGATAAGGGTCAACCCTAGCCCACCCAAACCATGTGCCTTGGTCAGCCTTCCTTAAGGTGGGGTTGGGCTTGCACAGAGACCTCAGGCAACCTGAAACAATCCTCATGTGTGGATGCGCACAACCCAGAATATGCACACATACATACATAAATAAATGTGAGATTATAACTAACACAACCCTCGTGCGTGGTACACAGGTGCGTGGATGTGTACCAGTTACAATATGCTTACTGATACACAAACATCTATGAAGGTGAGAGTGTAACTAGTCCAAGTGTGTGGGGATTATTACACTATGGCAAAACTTGCCTCTTTTCTTTGCAAAAATCAATTTAAGTTGTAAAATGCATTTTTGATGTATTTACTAGGAACTCAAAAAGAGCCAGGGGCAGAGCCAGCATGGGCCCAGAGGGGGCACCATGCTTAGCCCATTAGTTTTTATTCAATTTTAAGCCTGTAAGTAGTAAAAGTACATAAAATGACCCCCTAACATCATTTGTTTTTTTTCTACGAATGTTATTGATTCTTTCTTTTCTTTCTCAATTTTATCCTTCTTTAAATTTCTTTTTATTCATTTCAAAAAAATTTGCATTACCAATGAACCAGTGGCCTAGCGGTATCAGCCTCTTACTTCCCAAAGGGAAGTCAGGAGTTCATGTCTCAGAAGAGATAGGTGTGTGTGAGTACCAACTAGGAAAATAAATAAAAAATAAAAATTTGCATTTCCTTTTTCCAATCAATACCTAATTTTTCCCCTTCAAAGTTCTCTCATACTCCCTCCCCGTCCCAAAATTCTTGTCCATCTTTCTATTTTGAGACGTCCAAAAATACATTTCTCGTTCTAAAATTAGATATACTACATTTTATAACATTCCCAAACTACCCTTTAGCGATTGACTTAATTAAACAAATATACTAATTACAGAGTATTACTTTGTCTTTACAATAAAAAATTTGCAATAAGGATAAATTTGAAAATTTACTCATATCAATACAATAAAAAATTTGTAAAAACAATATAAAACTCTCTTTCCCTTCCTCACAACCGAACAAAAAAAATGTGTCACCACATCCATCCTTTCTACTATTCATTCCATCCAATCAAACAAAAAATGAGGGAGACACGTTCCCTTCTCTTGGGATGCCTTATCCATCCACTCCCTTCCGTCCATTTTTCATCCCTCCAACCAAACGAAGCATAAATTTATTACTAAAATTTTATACACTTGGGGCATGTTTGGCATTTATTTTCTGTTTTGTGTTTTTGTTAACAAATTAGAGAAAAAGATAAACAAGTCACAAAAACACATTAATGCACTGACTTCACTATTATTCTGTTCTTGTTGTTTGCTACACTATTAGTTGGATTTTTTTTCTGTTATGCTTAATATGCCATCTCTCCCCCCCCCCCCCCCCCCCAACTAAATTCCTGGCTGCGCTCCTCCACTGCTATGACTACTACTAACAATCAGCATCGCAAGTACCATATCATCTATTATCAGTTCATTACCAACAGCATGTAAATATCGCATCAACTTTGTCAACAACCTTTTCCCTACCAAGACTTGGAATCACGATCACCACAATAAATAACATTGCCTAATGTAGTTTACCTTCTAAATTATATAAATATACATCGATCACGAATATGCTAGAAGTACACCTCCATTAACCCATCCTGTTTTTCTTTCATAAATAAGATCATCTCTAATCTCTTTCTCTCTCTATGGACAGTTGAACATACGTAATGGATCAGTTTACTTTTTAGTATCTCTAGAACCACAGTTTTTTTTTTCCTTCTTTCTTTTTTTAATTTTTTTATAAGTAGAACCACGGTGTTTTTACACAATGAAACTAAATTCCAACTTATATCTTTAATTTTATTGAAGTTGCATTCTATTTGTTCAGTTTTAATCCTACTTATCTTAAACCCAGTTGAATCTAGAACTCCTCTAAACCTTTAATTTAACACCTATTCACTTTCATCAATTAACCCAATATCATCAACAAATGGCCTTCATCATGGACCCTCATCCTATGTGTTTTGTAGCACACAGATATAAAGGTTCAAAGGTAATTCAATTAAGCCTAAAATAATTTTAAATTCATCATTTCTCCTACAAATGTTATTAGGAAAGAAACTATAGGAAAAAATAAACGGGAAATCAGATATTAAAAATAAGGTACAAAACTTGGGGATGAACAATAAATATACTCAAACAAGAGGTAAAGTAAGTACACTAGTATTCATCAAATAACATCCTGAATTTTGGTATTGCGTAACTAAAGAAGCATACAGTTGCACACATCCATACCCTCCAGGAGTCACTAAATTCCGAAAACAGAATGCAGAAAACCATCCAGCACATATCTTACCACAAGAAACAGAAAATAAATAAATACCATATGGAGGAAATATAGGAGGCCTTACCTAAATGCAGGAGGAGCCCTTGGAGCGGACTTCTCGGCCATTGCAACGTTGATTTTAAAACCCCTCATATCGTGATCTGTTGGACAAAATACATTATAAGTATTTAAGGGGAAAAGAACAGAATAGTTTCAACTAAATAGAGAAAAGTTTCACGGAGAATATACTATTATAAAAGCCGCCAGCAGAGTGTGCTGCAGATGGATCCTCATAAGATAAAACTGCATCTCCTTTGTTTTTCCCCTGCTCGTCTGTGTATATTTTTATACTCCAGGGCCATTGGTCCTTATAGCCCCTCTTTTGCTTGATTCTTCCAATCTAGATAATAAGAACATAATTTATAAACAATTCTACCAGGATTGGTTTATTTATCCTGTCATCAAATAATGCCTTGAAATGTGAAAGAGGGTTCAGGCAATAACTCTAGATAAAAGATGCCCAATTACAATATCCAACTGATATATTACAAAATAAATCTTAAGCGTAAACAATAGTAAGAAGACAACAGAAAGAATTGCATATTACTTGTCCAATGCCACCAAAAAGTTCTCTCAGTTCATCGGTAGTCACATCTGGAGGTAAATTTGAAATATAAATTCTTGAGTTATCACATAAATCCCCACAGTTCTCATCACATTGCTTCACGTTTTCTGGAACCTCAGCAGGAGCAACACCAAAACCACCACCAGGATTTCGTGGACCAGCACCATATCCACCAGGTGGGCCACCCCGGCCACCACCGCGGGCATCACCAACATATCCAACAGGGGCACCATATGATGGGGGTAATGAATTGGGTCCACCAGTATAGCTTGCAGGTGGAGGAACAGCATCTGTCCCATAATTAGGATTTCCGCCGTAAGTGTTTGGAGGTGATATATAATTGCCACTGGACCCATCATAAGATGGAGGCCCCGATGGAGGAACCTGACCATAACCAGCAGTATCTCTTCCTTGATTCCCACCATAAGAACCACCTCTGCTACCTCCGCCACTTCCACCATCATAATTACCACCTCTGCCCCCTCGATTGCCACCATATCCTCCGCCACTTCCTCCTCTGTTATAACTGCCGCCACCACCACGATCACCAGCAGGACAGGGTGCACCGCATTTGTTACACTCAACTCTTTTTGCAAAGTTCAGATTCCCGCAGCTACATCCACATATACCAGTTCCCATATTATATATCTATACGAGTAACAGCTAGAGGGAAGCAGTAAATTCTGTAACCTCCTCTCTTTTTTTTCCTCTTTTAGAGCTCAAATTGAAAAGGGTCAGAAGCAAAAATCTTCAGCATGGAGGAACTCACTTTCCAGAAAGTGATTAAAATAAAGTGAAAGACAAAAAAAATTGTCACAAATTTGATAATAAAATACCCATTTTGGATATGGATATGGAAGGGAAAAATGATCTTCTAGAATATTTTACAATAATTATTTCCCTCTAAACAAACAGATCGTTGGGAAATTTTTAGTGGCTAACAGAACTAATAAACAGAAACGCCATGGAATAGCAGATCTGCAAAAGAAAAACAAATACCTGGGTTCAGGGCAACGCCAATCACCTTCCTTGCCGCTTCCACCACCGCGGCCACCTCCACCTCGACCGCCCCGATCTCCTCCCTGATATCCGCCACCTGCGAATCCCAAGTAAAATAAAAAGAAGAAAATACATATACCCGCACACATATGTACAGGAATACAAATATATTATACATGTATGTATATATAAGTCTAAAGAAACTCAGATCAACGATACAGAAAAGAGTATAAGAAAAATAAGCAGATGGATTCTGCGAATTACCAGCATATCCTCCACTTCCTCCCCCTCCTCTTCCACCACCTCCACCTCGACCGCCAAAGCCTCCACCTCGGCCGCCACCGTATCCTGCATCGCCACTGCCTCTGTATCCTCCAGCACCGCCACCGCTACCTCCATAACCACCGCCACCGCTACCTCCATAACCACCGCCACCGTTATCGCCATATCCTCTACCGCCGCCGGATGGCGGAGGAGCAGATCTGTCGTCTTCGTAACCGTACATACCAGACATGTTCTAGGTCTAGGGTTTTCTCCTAGAAGAAGGAAATATGAATGTGTTTAAAGCCGAATGAAGTGGGAGAGGGAATATGGGAGCGACAGCTGAAACGCGATCTTTTCTGCTAGCAAATATCTTTATATTAGCCGACTCAAGAGATGACTAGGTAGTAGGTACAATAGATGGACATCTCAAAACAGTGCGACTAACCCAATCAATAGATGGGGATTTAATGATTTTTTTATTATTATTATTTTTTAATGACAAACTAAGGTGACTCGAAAAAGGGTGGCAATTTTTAATTAATAATGAATATGATAATAATTTTTATATTGTTAGGATGGATATGGGTACAAATTTTATACCCATTATGGGTCAGGAGACGGAACTGGTTCTGATAAATATTTGTCGGGGCTCCACCCCACCCTGCTAAGCATGTTATTTTATTTTATATATATATATATATATATATATATATATATATATATATATATAATAACAATAATAACATAACTTACTGAGGATACTGAAGATAAAGTGGGCTGGATCTGACCCGAGAGGAAAGCATCGGGTTGGGCAGCAAGTTCTAGCCCAAGCTTAAAGAGTAATACAACAAGCCCAACACCGGAGATCCACCGGATTGGGTCAAGCCCAAAAGGAAGAAGGCCCGAAGACTGAGAGCCCAACATAAGAAATTAGTTATAACACTTGTAATTGCCTATAAATAGGCATAGAAGAGAAAGAGAAATGAGGGAATAGTAAAAATGTAATGAAACTCTAAAAGAAATTTGGAGAGATATTTTCTGGCATTTACAATTGGCGTCGTCTGTGGGAACGTTGAAGATTGATTCTTGTTTGATCAACATCATGTTGATTCAGACTAATTCGTGAAGATAAAGCTTGATTTCTGGAAGTTGAATCCAAATCTGAGAGATTGCGGTTTGCTCTTGAGAAGTTCTTGATTCCTGATTGATTTTGAGAAACTGGCGTCAGATTTATGCAGCAGTGATTCATTCTATCGTGGCTCAATCTGACAAGTTCAAAGCCAGGAAAGCTCAGATATAGCAAATGGTGAACGTAATTCATAAAATTTGAGTCAAAATCTGACGTGATTCGTGTTAGTGAAACTTAGATCTGATTTAGAATTTGTAATTCATGCCTTTGCTCCGTTCCCGAATGATGACTGGGGGTGAGAACTCCAATCCGATAGAGAATGTCTAGTAGATGAAACTTGATGAGTTGATGAGTATGATCGAAGCTCTCAGGAGAGAGAATGCAGAGCTAAGGACTGAAATGCAGCGTCAAGAAGCTCCGGTGATTCCGCGACCTCTCCCAGCAGGAGAAGAAGTTTTACGTCCCTGTGCTGCACATCACGGTGAGGAGGTAGGGAACAACCAGACAGATCTTCACCACGAGGAGGTCCGACTAAATGATTTGCCACCAAATCCTCATCGCGTTGATGACCGTGAAGGATCAACTCACGTGGATCCACGGCGTGAACAGATCAGGCGAAACGAAGCCATGACTTTCGATCCATATCAAGAAATGCTCGGCCGAGAAGAAGCAATGAAGTTTGATCGCCACAAAGCTATACCGCCGTGGCACAAGGAATTTATGGAGGAAAGATAATTCGATTCGTCTTATCGGCCTTCCATGGCAACGTTCGATTATCGAAGCTCAGAAAGGAGATCTATAGATCAGAGAGCTACCGCAGGGTTTCAGAGGGAGAATGAAGCCCTCTGCTCAGCTGCTCGAACGGTTGACTCACCGTTTACCGATGAAATTCTGAATGCTCTGAGTCCGAGGAAATTCTCCATGCCCGTTTTCATTCTGTTTGACGAAACAACCGATCCGATTGACCATGTATATCACATTCAGTTGAAAATGGCCTTGAACACTGAGAACGATTCCTTGATGTGAAAATGCTTTCCTACAAGTCTAGTTGGACCAGCGCTCAATTGATTCAAGAACCTGCCAGGGGGCTCAGTGGATAGTTTCCGAAGCTTATGCGATCGGTTTATAAGCCAATACTGTGAGAATAAACGTCCGGCAAAGGACATTTCGAGCCTATTCATAATGAAGCAACATGAGGACGAGCGTCTCCAAGCTTTTCTTACCAGGTTTAACCTTACTAAAAGCATGGTGATTGAATGTCATCCTTCTATGGTGGTTCAAGCATTTAAATTAGCCATGACTCGTGGCACTCCATTCCACACAAGCTTGGTAATGAATACGCCAAAGACTATGGATGAACTCAATGAAAGAGCTGATGGTTTTGTGCGCTTAGAAGAAGAAAAGGCAGCTAACGCTCTGAAGACATCCATCATATCAACAGAAGAGAAAACCAAAACAAAGATCAGGCAAAAACAGGTCAGCCACAACGTCAGACCTCCTGGAAATCTGAGAAGAGGCCCAGAGAGGAAGAGCTGGTTACTCCATTAAAAGTCAATTTAGCAAGGCTGTACCAAGAAAATAAAGATAACTTCCGATCTCCTTTACCAATCAGATAGCCCCTCGAACAGAGGGACCAGTCTAAGCATTGTGCATTCCATTCTGACTTTGGTCATCAGACTAATGAATGCAGAAACTTAAGGAGACAGATAGAGATGCTGATAGCCAAAGGGGAGTTCGCAAGTTATATTCAAGGCCCGGCAGTAGAACAGAACCGACCGATGGAGCACGTGAAGAGGAATCAGAAGCCGAGCTCCCACAACTCGCAACCAGTTCGAATAATCAATTCAGTTCACGGTCTGCCAGAACCCACTGAGGAGTTAGATGAACTGCTTCGAACACGCCTCCGCCAGGCACAGATGAAGAGGAGGATAGGCAGTGTAAACACTCTGCACCAGCAGAGCGCATCAACACAGATAAAGTTTGACAGAACCGACCTGTTACGTGTTCAAATTCCTCATGAGGATCCGTTAGTCGTCAATTTAACAGTAGCGGAGTACCTGGTAGGACGAGTCCTGATTGATCCTGGAAGTAGCGCGAATGTTATGCCAAGGGACATATTCGATCTGCTCGAAATAAAACCCGAAAGGCTCAAGCCCACTGCAAATCCCTTGCTAGGGTTTGATGGAAAACGAGTGGAACCCGTCGGTATGGTAGAAGTCGCAGTGCAGGCTGTAGAAAGGGTTTTGATAGAAAGCTTCGTGGTTGTTGAGATCCATCCATCTTACAACCTTCTGATGGGCAGAGGGTGTTCCTCAACTCTGCACCAAGTGATGAGATGCCTGGGGCCTGACAGAAATAAGGTGATTGACATTCATGAAGACCAGGTTGCAGCTAAGGAATGTTATTCTGTGACGCTGAAATCTGCTGCAAAGGGAAAAACTCCCATCCGTTCTACAAGCCCTAGATAGCAATTACAGGAGCCTTCACCCAGCCAAAGTGGGGAGGAGGAGTTGGGGAACTTGACTGAAGAACCCCTTGTTGACGTGCAGATTGATCATAACAAACCGGAACGAACAACCAGGGTGGGAATAAGACTTGTCGAGGAAGAGAAACGGGAGTTAATTGACTTTTTGTCTCAGAATGCTGATGTGTTCGTTTGGAGCCACTCGGACATGCCCGGAATAAGCCCTTCGGCATCATGCCACTCCCTCAACGTCAATCCGAACGCGAAGTCTGTAAGGCAGAAGCAGAGAAGATTCGCTCCAAAGCGCAATCGAATCATAGCCGAGGAGGTTGATAGGTTGTTTGATGTGGGATTCATTAGAGAAGTAAATTACCCAGACTGGCTTTCAAATGTTGTAGTTGTGCGAAATAAAAATGGGAAGTGGCGAGTATGCATTGATTTCACTAATTTAAACAAAACTTGTCTGAATGATAGTTTCCCACTGCCAAAGATTGATCAAATGGTGGACACCACTACTGGATACGAACGTTTAACTTTCTTGGATACTTATTCAGGATACAATCAAATCCCCATCAACCCGGCTGATGAGGAAAAAACTTCTTTTGTAACCGAACGAGGGACCTATTGCTACAAAGTTATGCCGTTCGGATTAAAGAATGCTGGGGCAACTTATCAGAGGCTGATCAGCAAGATTTTCAAGGATCAGATGGGGAAGACTATAGAGGCTTATATTGACGACATGGTAGTGAAAAGCAAGAGAAGAGTTGACCATTTGAAGCAACTGCAGGACGTGTTTGAGGTATTGAGAAGATATGGAATGAAACTTAATCCAACCAAATGCTCATCCGGCGTAAGTTCTGGTCAATTCCTAGGACATGTGGTTAATCATAGAGGAATCGAGGCTAGCCCAGCCCAAGCAGAGGCTCTGACCAAGAATGTTGAACCAAAGACAATTAAAGAAGTACAAGCCCTCACAGGTTGGATAGTTGCATTGAGCCGGTTTATTTCTAAGTTGTCAGATCGCTATAAGCCATTCTTTAATACCATACGAAACCATGGGAGACAGGCCTGGGGAGATGAACAGCGACAAGCGCTAACTAGTTTGAAAGAATATATGCAGAGCCCTCCGATCCTGTCTGGTCCCGAACCAGGAGAAAAGTTATTTTTGTACCTCGGGGTATCTAGGATTGCGATGAGTGCTGTTCTGATCCGCTGCAAGGAAGGAGCTCAGTACCCAGTGTTCTATATTAGCAAAACAATAACTGATGCTGAATGGAGATATTCAAAGGCCGAACGAGTAATACTCTCACTCGTAAATGCAAAAAGGAAACTAAGGCATTATTTTAAATCCTATCATATCGTCGTTATGACTGTTTTTCCAATCAAAGTGATCCTGCATAAGCCAGACCTCTCGGGGAGAATGACGAAGTGGGCCATAGAGTTAAGTTCGTTTGACATAACGTATGAACCCAGAACGGCTATCAAAGGACAAGCAATGGCTGATTTCTTGCTATAATGTGATTCGAAAGATGTGGAGGAAGACCTTCGCAGTTGTCCATGGAAACTCTTCGTAGATGGATCCTCAAATCAGCTGGGGGCAGGTATTGGGATCAAACTACAGACGCCAGAAGGCACATTCCTAAGTCAAGCGCTCAGACTTGAATTCCGAGCCACTAATAATGAAGCAGAGTATGAAGCGTTGCTGATTGGACTTAAGTTAGCCAGCGAGCTGAAAGTCAGGAACTTAACCGCTTTTAGTGACTCACAGTTGGTT